GCTTATCCCGGTTTCTGTAGCATGAAGCGACTAGGAGTATTTCTACTCCCCCCTGGATGGGATGCTAGTCCATCGCAGGGTTGCCCCCAGCATTAAGTTTGCTGGTAACCGTTTATACACCTGGGTGGAGAGAGGTACTGTGAGAGTAAAGTGTCTTGCCCAAGAACACAACAAAATGTCCCTGCCCAGGGCTCGAACCCGGACCGCTTGATTCAGAAACGAGCGCACTTACAACCATGAGGCCACCACACGTCCCACAAAGCCTACTTAGGGCTGTCATTAAGTTCTGAGTCACCTGTAGCCTTGTTTTCCATACCCGAAGCAAATTTGTTACTTTGTGGATGAATTCTATCAACAACAGGCAATTTCACCCATAGCATCAAGGGAAAATCAAGCATTCTCTGCTGTAACAGGTGAACATTAGAGGTTACGGCCCTTAATGCCAGCCCTGCTACTTACCGGTACTGTAGTTTCTGCTTCAGGGTTAAAAAAGATTAATCATTGATCATAAGTTAATACTTAACGATGTTTATATATTAAACGTGAGAAATTAATGGTACATCGCAATCCCATCTTCCAGCCACACCTTCCTAAAACTGTAATTTCCACAGATATATGTATAATTAAACCAGCACAAAAAATTGGAAATAAAAATTTGGTCTTAAAATAATATTCATTCGACAATCATTGTGGCTTTTGAAGAAGTTGTTGCATCTACTAGGTATTTAGAAATCTTTATTTACTTACAATACATTGACATGGTTGTAGATCTTAGTTTGTAAAATTACGGCCATGTACAAGGCCAATATATATTATTATATTTTAATTAGTTAATAAACCACTACAAACTACTTTCTTGTGCATTTGCCTTGAGATCACAATATCATAAATTATGTGTAGTGTAAATGACAGGTCTCAGTGTTTTCAGTGAAAATTCCAGGTTGCAACAATAAATTTTCTTTTCTTGCCAGGATGGAATGTTTAAACTGAAGGATGCTTATCACTGCAGTGTGTTGGTGGCAAAAGCTCTGGACTTTGAGTCAAGATCATCATATGTGTTGAACATAACAGCTTCCAATGTTAGTTTGTTGCAGTTACTTGTTGACTTATTATTATTCCATTCGAACCTCTATTAAGTGGCCACTCCTTATTAAGCAGCCAGTTATCAAAGTCCTGAAGTCATTGTAAGAGTTTTAAATGGAAAGGGATGCATAATAAAATTTCATTCAAACACACTTTTATCCTGATTGTCTTGACGTGATTCCATATTTACTAAGCAGTTAACCCAATGGGAGAAATATTCAAAGTACAAATTCAACCCCTATTAAGCAGCCAACGCCTATGAAGTGGCCACCACCCAGTCCCCTGAGGGTGGCTGTATTATTATTATTATTATTATTATTATTATTTTTATTTTTGGTGGGACACTCTTTGGTTCTAGTAAAATCTACAATTTCTTGTGCAAAAAAGTACTGGTTTAAAGTTCAAAGTAATTCATGCGAATTGTCGTCTTCTTCTTCCTCTTCATCGTCGCCGTCATCTTCTTCATCATCATCATCATCATCATCATCATCTTCATCGTCATTACCACCACTGTCATCATTATCATTGCAACATGGTGTCATGACACTGATACTGTGAAATGTTATGTATTCGTGTCTCGAGTTATTATTTTTCTCCTGATTGCATTGGTCTGTACCTTGTTTGAAAGCCATGATTCATTAAATAAGTCAACTGTTAGCAATTTGGTTCCTCTTACAATGTCATGTCCTTTTATAATTGCAGTATCAGGAGGGCTTCTCCAACTGGACAGTTCTTTCCATATCAGTAGCAGATGAGGATGACCTTCCTGCGAGATTCTCCACTTATGAATACAGAACAATCATTACAGAAGATGCATTTGTGGTAAGATTAATACGTTGTGCACTAGCAATGCTGGAAATGCCAGTCGGACAACACTAGGAGAACTCAACCCACTTAACTGGCAGACACATATCTTAAGCACACACCTTCCTATGCAGGAATTTTTCAGAGCAGATGCCTTGCCTTTAGAAGCATTGATGGCCCCTAATATGCCAGCGCCTCTCCTAAGCAGACACCTTTCCTAAGAAGACATCTTGCGTCCCATATGTAGAGTCTATAATATGGATTTTTTTTAAAGTTTGTGCCTCCCCTAAGCAGACTACTTGCCTAGTAAGCAGACATATCCACTATGTAGAAAAAAGCTAAGTGACATCTTTCCTAAGCAGACACATCCCCTAATAAACAGACACTTTGCCTAAGCAGAGAACACCACCATGCAGCATCCTTTAGAAGACAACTTCGCTGTAAGCGAACACCTGCACTTAGCAAAGACGCTCATCCTTATTGTACCCCAAACAGACACTCATCCTACATGAGCCTGTTTTCTGAGCAGGCACCTATACTAGTGCAAATGTAGATTGTAAGATGACACCTTCGTTAAGTTGACACCTCCTTTAAAGAGACATGCTGCTATGCAGTGCCTGACACCTGTCCTATGGAGAACCTACCCCGGGCAGAGACCTTTTCCAAAGGAACGCCTCCTAAGCAGGCATCTTCCCTAACTAGAAACATAATTATATACTAAGTGAACAAACCAGACACCTTCCTTATGCAGACATTATCAGCAAACACCTATCCCATATGAAGACGTCTGACTAAAACCGCCATCTTCCCTTGGCCTAAGCTGTTTTTAATTTTTAAACACAATTCCCCCACAATTACGAGCTAGTGATACTTCAACCAGCAATTCATACCATAAAATATCATATAATTCTTAAATGGCGTTTGTTTCGACAGGGAACATCCGTTATTCAAGTGATTGCAACTGATCAAGACACAATTAATGAGCCAGTTACATATGAGATTATTGGGTGTAAGTATCAACAGTATCAAGCACACATTCTTTTCAATCTAGTCTGTCCGCAGACATTTGTTTTTTTCTGCGTTTTTTTTTTTTCGTCGCGCGCGAAAGTGAAAATGGAGGCTAGGGCTGTCTTTCCCCAGCCCCACCCCTTGCGTTTTGGCTAGTTCATATCCCACGCGCCGGGTTAATATTTTGCTACGCCTGCGATCTCGACGAATTCAAGACACAATAGAGGATCTGTGTACGTACTACTTTTAATCAGAATCGGGAAGATAATACTTAGGGCTGTCTTAGAGACAGTGAATTTTAAATTTCAGCCACACATTCAATCCACGTACCCTGCAACGATCTTGAATACGCCCACTAGTTGCGACATGTTGAGCTACATTTCTCTACCTACGATTTATCTGTGTTGTTTTGTTGACTTACTTGTGAATTTGTTCGTTTATTTATGATTTCAGCAACCAATAAACACAGCTTGTTTGCCATCAATGAAACCACTGGAGTTATCTCCCTGAATGGCACGCTTGACAGAGAGGCTGTATCCAACTACAGGTTACGAGTCCTGGTAAGTCTTACTGCCTCGAAAGTCTTGCCTGTGTTAATACTCAACTCATGGTGTCATGTTCTCTTAGCGGAAAATAATGCACGCTTGAGGTCTAGAGAAACTGCATGTGGACGCACGAGTGGAACGGAAGTGCTCTCAGCAGTTTTTCTAGACTTCGGCGTGTGGACGGTAGGCCTAACCGCTGCGTTTTCAAATTCCTACGGCGTAGTGGGGACGGGGCCGTAGAGTGTCTGCTAAGTTAATTGGGAGGATCCATATGTTTTGTAGGCGATAGTTAACCCTTCTGGGCCTTGTTCATTATATTAGAACCCACTAAAATAGGAAATATCTTCTGTGTTTCTATTTAATCACAGAAGTACAGCTTTTAAGTCTTTTTTTTATGACACTGTATTTTCCGACTACTCGTACAAGTCTCGGGCTAGAAGTCTAATTGTTAATTAAGTGTATTCTTTTTCATTAATAAGCTGTGTTGTTTATGCTAATTAGAACAATTTCTTCCGTTTACTCTGACTTTTTTCTGTTATATGACTCCAGGGTGTACTTATATCTTAAACCAAGAGCGAGGGCTGTATGGGGAGACTATCGGCCCGAGGTCTTGACAGTACGGACCGAGCGCAGCATGGGCCGTACAAATTAGACCGAGGGCCGATAATTTCCCAATACAGTCCCGAGCAAGCTTGGTTAATAACGTATTTATGAAACGTTTGCAACTACCCGAAAATCTTCAAGAGTGGCCTTGCGGGATCATTCGGGACAGTGCCAGGACCCATACCTAGAGAACATTGGACCGGCAGTGGGGCAATCTGATTGGTTGATGTAGTTATTGGCCCTCTGAAATAACTTAGTTGTATAATAACAATTGCTACTGATTATCTCCTCTTTACATTTGTAGGCTTATTCTTCTTTTCATCTCCCTGATCATGCGGCAGTTGAAATCGAAGTTGGAGACGTGAATGACCACATGCCAATTTTTACAAACAAATATTATTCATTTGTGATCAGAGAGAACGCGCAAATTGATGCCACGGTGGGACAAGTGATGGCGAGTGATGCAGACAAAGTTAGTGCCAGTAGGGCGTTTATTTCAATTTTGTGGTAAATTAAGAAATTGTAATATTTAGAGAGGAAACCACATAAGCCCTAGCTGGTTTTCATGCGGGTGCCCTATCCTGATCGAATTGGAATTTGGAAGTGTGTTTTTAAGGATGGAGGAAAACCTGCGCACCCGGAGAAAAACCCTCGGAGCAAGGCAAGAACCAACAACAAACTCAGCCCACATATGGCACCGGGCCGAAATTGAACCACATTGGTGGGAGGCGAGCGCTCTCACCACTGCGCCAACGCTGCTCTTACATGAAAAAAAAAAAAATTATTTACTTTTTTGCAATTCAAGGTTGTAAAGTAATGTTATCATGAAAGCCCTTTAGTTAGCAAAAGAAAGTTTTAAAAGCGGGAAAAAAATTTTTCATTATTTTACGAGCGTTAATTGTTCTTTTCTCCGGTATTAAAGAAACTCCAGCATATATATCCCCGTATCTTTGTTTTTACTGCTTCTGTTGTGGTTCCTTATCTGTTCAGGGAAACAACGCTACGTTTGCCTATTATTTGCTGGACGGTGGAGGCGATCTCGCCATCGATCCAAATACTGGTGTACTTACTGTGAATGGATCTTTAGACCGCGAAAAGCAAGAGTATTATAACTTTTTGGTGAGAAAGGAAATTGTTTTTTTTTTTAGACTCATCATTGCATTATTTGCACTTGCGTCGAAAACGTCCTCACTTTTTGTCTCGTAATCTGACATTTTTTCTCAGGTTTTCGCCGGAGAAACCCAAACTGTTGAAATGTATAGCAGTAATGTTACCGTGGAAGTCAGAGTGGAAGATAGGAATGACAACAGTCCTCGCTTCGTTGAACCGTTTTATGAAGTAACAGTGAAAGAAGAACAACCCAGTGGAACACCCATCCTACAGGTATTTTTATTTAAAGGTCCGGTAAAACGGGCAACATTTTTCCTCAACTTGTCTCGCAACATTGTTGCATTGCACGTTGAAACACATTGTTGCGCGTATTACCACGTTTGTGACCAACTTGTCTCGCAGCAAAATACAGTGTTGCAAGTTGAGGCAATATGTTGTGCAAAGTAGACTCGAGTTCTACTTTCCGCAACAAATTTTAGTTTTGCTGCTCGTATTACCACTGAAGCTACAACTTGTCTCGCAACAAATTTGAATTC